CTGCTGTTTTTCTAATTTTACGGCTTTTTGTAACGGTAAAAAAAGACAGATAAATTTATTTCTAAAGCAACTAAGTTATAACATTTTTTGTGAACAAAACAAAACAAAAAGATCCAAAAAAAAAAAAAAAGTCGTTTTTTTCTCTCTAAGTTAACAAAACTATCTTGGCAATTTTTTCAACTTTTATAATCAAGTGCTTAGTATTCAAGTAATGTGAATTTAATTTTAAAAGATTTTGATTAAATTCCATAATAATTTTTGCACTAATTTATCGTCAATTTAGATTGGCACTTATCAGCTGTGTGGTTATCGGATGTTCAGTGGCTCAAATGTTCTCTCCACCACCAGCAATGGGTGGTTCAGTTGGTTGTGTTGTCACCGTAAGCTTTCAAAACTTTTTTTTTTATTTTACAGTTACAGCTTAGTTAAGTTTCAATTCTCGAAATTTAATTGATTTTATTGACAATCAAAACACAGGAAAAGAGTATGTAAATTTGGTTTAAAAATTTCTGAAGGTCAATCTTCTGCTCTAGTTTTGTTTCGATTTTTTTTAGCAATGCACTAAAACTTGTCATCTCTAATTTGCCAACCAATAAGTGCTTAAGCAGATAGATTTGATAATTTCTCAGAATAGGAAAGAAAGATCAAAATTAAAGATTATTAAAAAAGTTGTTTTTTTTTTTTCTGGGAAGGGAGGGGGGGGTAACTATTTTGGCAATTAAAGCAGAAAAAGAAAGCAGCAACATAGTTGTTTTTGTTTTTCTTGAAAAATGATAAAATGTTTGGAAAAAATGAGTTGATGTTTTCAGTTTCTTAGTTCATTTAACACCTCAACAACTTTTTACAACTTGTCATCACCAAAAAAAGTTTTATTTACAATCATTGTTTTTTTTTTCTTCTGTTTTCATTTTCAAGGCAAACAAACTGTATTCTCACGGAAATTATATTCGTGATTTGAACGATACCGAAAAACAACAATTGGTAAACTACAAAAAAGATTTAGCAATATTTAAAGAGGTAATCATTTGTTGTTAATTTTCTTCTTTTTTTTTAACATAAAAAAAAGACCTGTAAACAACAACCAAAACAACAACAAAGATGTCTGTTTTATACCATAAACTACAGCGAAACTTTCAACGAACAAAATTAATTGCTAATGGTTACAGAAAACAAGTCAAATAATAATCACGTGTTTCTTTACTATATATTTTGTTTGGTTTAATAACCAATAAACTAAAATTCCAATTATAATACAACACAGCTATGTAAAGTTATGAAGAAATAAAAAGTTACGTTGTTTAAAATTACAGGAGATTGAGAAGGCATTTAAGAATGCTGAAGAAACAGCAAAACGAAACGGAACATTACCGCCGGTACCAATGAGACCTGTGATGCCAGCTTTCTGTACCGGCAAGGACACTACTCTATACATCTTTGCCGGCTGTACTGTTCAGGTTGGGTTGAACTTTTATGCAGTCTTATTTCGTCTACTTTGCTATCTTTTTTTTTTTTTTTCCATATTTTGTACGAGTAATTTCTTTTTTTTTTTTTAACAAAAAACTAATATTTAAGGAGAACAAACGTTATCTGAAATGTTGGTAATCAGTTTACACTGTTAATTTGTTGCACACTTTTTATATATCAAATTAACATTTACCGTTTAATTACTGTAATAAATTAAATGTTAGCTGTTTTATTAAAAAATAATTATAAGGAAGAAAACTGATCAATTAATGATTAAACTTTTTCAGAACAATAAAGTTTACATAGGTCGTGAGTTTGCTCGTAATTTGACAGCTGAAGAACGAAAAAATCTGGAAATGTTTGCAAAACAAATGGCAGAAAATAATGTAAGCTTTTGTTTCAATAACTGTTAACAATTAATAGCATATTTAAGTCCGATAGCTCTTTAAAAAGATTCCAAATTTTACTGTCATTTTGTTCACTAATATGGTATATTATTTGGTAAGAGTAAACGGAAAATACTGTCATGTGCTGAATGTTTGATAAGCAATAAAAATATAGTCTGTAAAAAAGAAAAAAGAAACCTTTTGTTTTTTTGACTACCATTTTTATTTCAGGGAGGAACTCCACCAGCTTCAGCACCATCGGTACCAAAAAATCTTGATTTTTGCACAGAATTTTAAATTTTTTCTCTTTTTTTTTTTTTTTTTTGTTTTTTTGCTTCTTGTGTTGTTGCTGCCGTCTATTTTTGAACGACAACATATGTATTAAACTGCTCTAAAATTCTGTTCTGTAGGAAAAAAAAAAACAACTGTAGTCAGGTTACTTGGTTGAATAGTTAGTTTCAGGAATCTCAGCACTTGTATTGACTGTATATTTATGTGTGTTACATACATTGTTGATGTAAGTTATTTATTAGCGATCTGAAATTATTTCCTAAAAAAAAAAATTTTCTGTATTTTTAAAACGTAGGAAAAAAAGCTTATTTGAAATCTTTGATAAACTGTCTATATAAACACAAAAAAGTTGTCAACCACTACTTATCGTCTCACTTTTACTCAGATTTTATCGCTTAACTAAAGAGGAGAAAAAAAAGTGCTGTGCTGAAAGTGTTGCAAGAAAAAAAAAAATTGAATATTAAAATTGATGCTAAAAAGCAGAAACATAAAAACAGTTTGACTGACACTCTGAACTGTCATAAACGTCTAAAAATTGTTATTCAGTTGTTGCAATGTCAACGAAGTTTCAATGTTTATTTAGTTCAGTGGACCAGTCTAATGTCTGATAATACCATCTGAATCATCTGACAACTATCAAACAGTTCAAATTGCTAGACACTGTCACCAGTTCCATTTTCATCAAAACCACTTATCTTCAGAGGTGGAGTAACAGCCAAATCGAGTTGTCAGACATTTTGGTTCAAAAATTAAATCTTCTGAAGTATACAAAGTTGGCAATAATCAAAATGTCTCAGTCGATAGTTGGCAAAATAAATCTTCAAAAACATGGAACATTTACTAGCAAAGATCAAATCTATACAGTAAAGCATAACAATATTCAACAGTTTTGAAGTTTATGCCTTATGTTAACATCAATTTTGGTCATCTTTTGCTATAAAAAAGCTTTTGCTATTAATAACCAAACGTTTATCGTAGATAAATTGTTCTTAGAAGAAAAAAATTTTTTTCAATTTATCCAATTAATAAATTCTACAAAGAAAAATCGCTTTATACTCTTTGTTTTTTTTTTTTGGCATGTGTACTTTTTTTAGTTTCTGTCATTCTAAAAATTTTATTTGTAATTAATTATCACTTTTTTTCATATTTAAATTAATAAATATAAAAACAAAAAAAAAATTTTTTTTTTTTT